ATGTAATAACAAAAAAGAGAGTAGTGAGAGTGAGTTAAACGTATTCGTTATCGCACGTGCAGTCACTTTATGTTTTTGTGTTTATATTACAATTTACGTTAGTTGCCAGGCTCCACCTTCACCGTGTACCTGCCTAAATAGCAGCCAAGTAATGTGCTTGGTTACCTGTAGTAGAACACATCAACGCCCGTGTTGCAACCAGATTTCTTATGCACTTCTTCGCGCTGCCAGCCCTTTGGTAGTGCGTTGCAATCAACGCGTTTTCTTTCAATTGTAATGTTCGGATTCATTTGCATGCTCCAAAATATTTTCCTTTTTGTTTATTTTTCTTACATTTGTTGGAAGCAGCGTCTCATTCGATACTTTAGCAAAACGATATAAGTACTAGCAAGAATAATTCGTGAAAGAAGATTCACTCCATGCAATAAGTTATGCCTATGACGTCACATTTGCATATGTTTATGTACGATAAGATGATTGAGACCAATACATATTTTACATTCCTTCTAAAAGTAATACTATATGGCCAGTTTTATGAAATAGTTTTTGTAAAAAAGTAAATAAACGTAATTTTTCAACAGCAACCATTTATACAAGATTTGTGTACTCTTATACTAATTTTTTAAGCATCAGTGTTGGATAATGCTTCAATAACATTGACAATGCGAATGAGCGAAAGAAGAAGAAGCACGAGTCGACGACGTAAGTAATTTTCGTGTGACTAAACTTTAATTCCACTGGCGTGGTTGAACGATTATTACATATTTATTATTCGAACAATGTAATATTGAACTATACAAAATGGTTGCAAGCTATTCCAATATGTCGTCAACATCTTTGCAGGCTCACAAACAGAACAGATTGACAGTCACCGTTTTCGCTTTTGGGACAACAAGAACAAGTGGCATCTGGAAGTTTAGGCCAATAAACCAAAAAGGGGAAAGTAAATACGAAGGAAAATGTCTTCATCAGCCATATTTGTGCTGGACGTGAAGGGGAAGGTGTTAATATCCCGCAATTATCGCGGCGACAACATTGACATGGCTGTAATCGATAAGTTCATGCCGCTGCTCATGGAACGTGAAGAAGAAGGTCTCGTCACGCCCATTCTGCAGACCTCGGAGACCACCTTTGCCTATATTAAGACAAATAACTTGTACATTGTGTCCACGACGCCGCGCAATAAGAATGTAAATATTGCGCTCGTTTTCGTATTCCTGCACAAAATCGCACAGGTGTTTGTAGAGTATTTCAAAGAGTTGGAGGAGGAGTCCATTCGCGATAATTTCGTTATAATATACGAGCTGCTTGACGAACTCATCGATTTCGGCTATCCCCAGACAACGGATTCGAAAATACTGCAGGAGTATATCACGCAAGAGGGTCACAAGTTGGAATTGCAACCACGCATACCCGTTGCCGTAACGAATGCAGTGTCCTGGCGCTCTGAGGGTATCAAATATCGCAAAAATGAGGTATTCCTGGATGTCATCGAGTCGGTCAATCTGCTGGCAAATGCCAATGGCAATGTGCTGCGTAGCGAAATTGTGGGCGCCATCAAAATGCGCGTCTATCTGTCCGGTATGCCGGAGCTTCGTTTGGGACTCAACGACAAGGTGCTCTTCGAGAGCACCGGACGTGGCAAATCCAAGTCCGTTGAGCTGGAAGATGTCAAGTTCCATCAGTGTGTGCGTCTTTCCCGCTTTGAAAACGATCGCACAATCTCGTTCATACCACCGGATGGCGAGTTTGAGCTGATGTCATATCGCCTCAACACGCATGTGAGTGGAGTAAATAATCCTAATCTTGCAGAACCTTCATTTATAATGTGTCATTCCACACCAGGTCAAACCACTTATATGGATAGAATCGGTTATTGAGCGACACGCCCATTCGCGTGTGGAGTATATGATTAAGGCAAAATCGCAATTCAAGCGCCGGTCAACGGCCAACAATGTGGAAATTGTAATACCTGTGCCCGCCGATGCGGATTCGCCCAAGTTCAAGACCACCATTGGCAGCTGCAAATACGCCCCGGAGCAGAATGCCATCATATGGACAATTAAATCGTTTCCAGGCGGCAAGGAGTATCTAATGCGTGCCCACTTTGGACTGCCTAGCGTGGAGAGCGAGGACAACACTGAGGGTAAACCACCCATACAGGTGCGCTTCGAGATTCCCTACTTTACCACGTCGGGCATACAGGTGCGTTATCTGAAGATCATTGAGAAGAGCGGCTACCAGGCGTTGCCCTGGGTCCGTTATATCACCCAGAACGGTGACTATCAGCTGCGCACCAACTAAGCCACGCCCACACACGATCACACACACATGCGCGCGCATTCCAGCCAAGCTTAAGCGAACATCTCTCTTGTTGCGTCTTATATTTTAGTAAGGAGTATGTTAGTTAGCTGCCTCACCTTCACACTGTGCGTTAAGTCGAAAGTATATATATATTTAAATTGAAAATGGTATTCCCGCAAAAGGAAAATCGCTCTAAAGCTGACATCTAAGCTTTAAATTAATTTAGATTCTAGTCGGCCTAAGGCGACTTATTAATTAAAATATATATTGCAAATTCAAAATCTGTAAAGCAGTAATGTTATAATTGATTCACCACGGTTACCGCTCAGCGAATTTTAAAGAACTATAATATTTAATATTTTCCGAGTGTTGCGCATTGTTTAAAATCCTTGTGAGAATCGATCTTAGCTATTTTTTGCACAGCACTAATTCGCATCCAATAAACTTCAGCTTGATCCTTTGCAGGAATACCCTTAACTGTAATGTATTGTTTTATTTCTGCGTATTGTATTGTATTGTATTTTTTATGTAAATCAAACTAATAAATTTTTAAAAACATTTTCAAATGTAACGACACTCGACTTAATCTGTGCCACAAAATATATTACAAAATGTTTTTAATTTCTTGTTGGCCCCTTAATAACCCTAATCATTTAAGTTTCGTCTACGTAGTTAGCAACAAATTTCAGATGGTTTGGAACCATTCAAAACAAAACACAAGATTGCTTAAGCTTAATAAATGCACTTTTCGATGAGTCTCTCCGTTAAAGATTTGTAGGATTTCAGTTTCTTTCAGTTTTGTCGATTCGCCCTCTATTGCTTGAAGCTTTTCAAGGGATAGTGTTGTTTGTGGGCCTCCACATGTTGCTCCAGCTCGCGCTGTTGCTTCAGCAGATGCTTGGGCATGTCGGCATAGACGCCCTCGAACATCTCACGCCAATTGGGTTTTAGTTTCTTTTCGGAAATGGCGATCTGTTTGAGCACCTGCTTGCGCACTCCGCTCACAAATTCCGTTTCCTCTTTCTCGTTGAACCAGCCCTTGTGCACCATATAGCTCTTCAGCTTGGAGATAGGATGCTCCAGCGTGTTCCACATTTCAATCTCCTCCGCCGAGCGATACGCCGTACTGTCATCTGACGTCGAATGATGACTGACCCGGTAGGCCAGGGCCTCAAGCACAACTGGTTTATTCTCTCGCAGAACATATTCCCGAGCTCGCTTCATCGCATTGTAGACGGCAAACACATCGGTACCATCCACACGGACGGTAGCTATGCCATAGCCCATGGGACCACGTCCAGCAATGCCATCCCCTCGGTATTGTTCATTCGACGGCGTTGAGATGGCGAAGCCATTGTTACGACTAAAACAAAAAATAGAATTGTAGATAATATTCCAAAATAATTATAGTTTAGAGTATACTCCTCTGCTACATACCAAAAGAATATCACTGGACACTCAAGCGTGGCAGCGAAATTGAATGCTGCATGGGCATCACCCTCGGATGCAGCTCCTTCGCCAAAGTAGCAAACAACGCAGGAGTCGTTGTTCGGCTTACGTTTTAGAGCATAGGCGGCGCCTACAGCTTGTGGTATTTGTGTGGCTAGGTAGAGAAGATAAAGGAATTAGTACGTGGATAACATTTATAATACAAGCTTCTTACACAATGGACTGGAGATGGTGACAAAGTTAAGCTCTTTGGAGCCATAATGCACGGGCATCTGCTTGCCGCGACCTAGATCATCGTCGTTGCCATAGCACTGATCGATGAACTGATCAATGCGGAAGCCGCGCCAGACCAGGACACCTGCCTCTCGGTACTGGCCATAGATCACGTCACGCATTTCTAGGGCGGCAGCGCTTCCGATGTGCGAGGCCTCCTCGCCAAAATTGGTCATGTAGAACGAGATGCGCCCCTGTCGCTGTGACTCATATAATATTTTGTCCATGGTGGACAGCAGCAGCATATCACGGAACATCTTCTCAACTACCTCCTGGCTCAGTTGGGGATCCTCCTGCTCGTTGAGTACGTAGCCATCGCGATCCATGACTCGATAGATTGGTATGGGTGCATAATCTTCTGGCATTGTCAGTTTCAGATTGTTAACAAATGATGCATCACGTGCACCTGGAAAAGCGTAACGATCGTCCACTGTCTTTACACCGGCACTGTAGCTGCGTTGTACGCCCGAAAGCTGACAATGAAAATAGTTAATTTCACTCTGTTCTGAGCTTCAGGAATACTAACCATTCTGGTATTTTGCTTTGCTGCATTGAAAAGTTGAACGGATTTGCGGAGGAATGACATATTTACAAATGAACAGCGGAAAGGACAACAGGACAAGATAGAAGTAAATCGTTCTATTTACTTATTTATATTTGGTTCCGCTCTGTTCTGTTGCTGCCTTGTGCTCCAAATCAGCTGCGTTACGCAACAGGTAAGCTGAGCCATGTACGCAGCACATAACCCTTGGTCGAAAAATCCCGTGAGCAAAATATTTAAAAAATATATATATTGAATGAAATATTTATTCAATGTAATCTATTAATTCATGATTATTGAATATTATTATATATTTATTAAATTCATATTATTATTTTGTTTTTTTTTTTTTTTTTTTTTTTTTTTTTTTGCAATTTAAGCAAATTAATATTTTAAGTTTATTTGTTTCGGGCTGTATTAGCATACTAGTCTGTCAGTGTTAGTTAACGCTTAAAAATGGCAGCTGTGCAGCTTAACGAGGCGCAATTCTGGCAGTCCATAGCAATATTAATAAGAAACTATCATGCCTTGAATAAAAAAATATTCGAGGTGCTTATAACAGAAGTGCAAAAACTGCAGCTGGGGAAACTCTATGAGTCCAATGAAGCTGAGCTGGAACAACAGCTGTTGCAAAGCAATGGCAATGCGAGAACCTACGAGGGTTTTAGGATTAGCTATAAAATGTTGACCAAAAAGCTGTCCTCAAATATTTTGGCCAATGGAATTGTGGGTATGTAAGCTTGAAATTAATATCCTATCATATTATTCAAAATTAGTTTTAATTATAGATTTTAGCAAGCAGAGCTATGAATGCCATTTCGTGGCGGACTCGGAATTCGATGACTTCGTCGTGCAACTAATCGATGGACAACTGAAAGCGGAGCCGCTGGCAAAGCATCCAGGCGAAGAGTGTGAGCAAGCCGCACGCTGGGCGCACTTTGTGTTGAAGCCAAAGCTGTGCAGCTGGGCACAGAGCCGGTCAGACAAAAATGTGCAGAAATCGCTAAGACTATTGGATGTGGAAATGTACTGCGAGCTCTACAAAAAGTTGAAACAGAAGCATGCGCAACGTCTGCTGCAATACTGGCAGACGGCGAATGAATCGACGGATCCGTTAAAGTTCATTTACGAGGATTTAGCTATTGCTGCTTACCTAATCACGCTTTGGGACTGCACGCAATCGCAGCCGACAGCATTCGCTGACCTCGGCTGTGGGAATGGCCTACTGGTCCATGTGCTCAATGCGGAAGGGTATGAAGGCTATGGTTACGATGTGCGGCGGCGTAAACTGTGGTCCCTCTATCCGGAGCCAACGAGTTCTCATCTAATTGAACAAACTGTGGAGCCGAACAGTTTTCAGCTAAATCATCCAGACATTGACTGGCTCATTGGGAACCACTCTGACGAACTGTCACCCTGGCTGCCCGTCTTGGCGGCTCGACTGAAAACCAGTTTTTTCTTACTGCCCTGCTGTCCGTTTGAGCTATCCGGCGCCAAGTTCCAGCGGCGCAATACTAGCATCAGCGCCTATCAGGATTTTTTGCTCTACGCACACCAATTGTCCGATCTATGTGGCTTTGAAACTCAGCAGGATCGCCTTAAAATCCCAAGCACCAAGCGCTTGTCTTTGATTGGCTTGAAGCAGACGGCGAAGCCTGTCCAGGAACTGGAATTTTTAGTACAGCAAGAGCTACAAAAGCATAGAGCGGGAAGCATGGATAATTCGGTGAAGCTTCGCGAGAAAGCGGAGAGTGTGAGGAACTGCACTCAGGTGGAAAAGAGCATAATCGATTCATTAGTACTGAAGATCTTTAACATGTTGTTATCCAATGCTAAGACAACTAATGGCAATGATGCGGGTAACAAATGGCTGCCTGGACAGCAGCTGACAATGCGTGATATAGCCCAAGGGCTGACCAAACCAGAGTTAACCGGTATCAAGTCCGAATGCGGCGGCATTAAAACGCTACTGCGTAACAAGCACGAGGTTTTTGAGTTTTGCGGCGATGATCGCATCGGCATACGAAAGCCCAAAGCAGCTGCGGAGAAGACAGGAAAATTGTTGACAATCAAAAAACGACCCTGCTTCTTTAAGCTACACCATCCACAGGGTTGTCCACTGGAGGACGGAGAGTGCTCTTTTATACATTAGTTGTGCAAATATATAAGCTTAAATCGACATAAAATTTATGAATAATACAAAAAAATACATATTTATTTTGGGATATTTTGTTGAAATTAATTTTTACAATTGGCCATAGTATCATTTAAAAAATTGTTTTGCATTTAGTTTGCTTTTTTGATTTATTTCATGTCTACATTTAAATAATTGTTTCGGATTATGAATAGATTTTAATTTATGGGCATTTGTTGTTGATCTTCCCTAATGGTTTACCCATTAAAAGGAAAATTTTATTTTTTTCTTGTCAATTCGCTTTAACGGGAACTATCGGAACTATTGCTACGACGACGGCGGCGAATGGGTGAACGGGAACGACGACGCGGAGAACGTCGGCCCCGAGGTGGTGAATTGCGCCGTCCACCACCACCACCTCCACCGCCTCCGCGGTTATTGAAGCGATTAAACTGCGGCGGGGAACGCCAACGTCCGCCCTGTGGACGACGCATCTGGGGCGACGGACGTCGCATGGGCGGTCGCTGCTTGGGGACAATTACTGGCGATACTGTTATCTCCTGGCCATCGATTTGCCCGCCATCCATGTGCTTCATGGCCGACTCGCAGTCCTCAGCCGTTGCATACTCGACATAAGCCATGCCGCGTCCAAAATTGGGATGATAGCGATCCGTTGGGAATTCCACATTCTTGATTGTGCCAAAGCTACTAAAGATCTCCATGACATGATCTTTCGTGACATTCCGGGTGAGTCGCCCAACATGGATACGCACTGGCTTTGGCGTAGGTGAGCGTGAGCGGGTGCGGCTGCGACTACGTGAGCGCTCGCGGCGCTTTGGCGGCGGTGTGCGATCGACAGTGCCACGCCCACCGCCACGGCGGCGGGGCGACCGTGAGCGGCTGGCTGACCGGGAACGCTCACGTTTTACGTTATTCACCTCGCCACCTCCAGCTGCGCCGCTACGATCATTGGAAGTCCGGCGTGCACGATCTCTTGAACGAGTGCGACTGCGCTGAACACGATCACGATCCCGCTCACGTTCCGATTCCTTACGCACCTTGCTATTGGGACGCGGCGATTTGGTAGTTCTGCGCGGCGAACGAGAAGTATCCTTCCCGCCTGCTGCACTACCGCTGGTTCCGCCTCTACGACGTCTAGTTTTCTCGCTGCGATCCGAGTCGCTCGACGATGAGGAAGAGGTACTGGACGAATCGCTTGAGCTGCTCGAGCTAGAACGTGAGTTAGAGCCCGAACTGCTGCGTGATGACGAGCTGCCCGATGAGCTTTATGAATGGAAATACATATTTCAGGTTAGCCCGCCGGCAATGAAAAAACTATGTATTATAAATATGCACCTTCTGCTGGAGTCGCTACTAGAGGAAGCGGAGCCCCGGCGCTTGCGTTCCCGCTCTCTGCGCGACGAATTGGATGTAGCGGCTTTTGCGTCCTTCTCTTTAACATCTTTCTCTTTATTTTCTTTTTCACCCTCGGCGGTGGGAGACCGGGCACGCGCCCTAATCGGGGGAAAATATGTCGGTCATGAAATAGCCCGAGGAAATGCCACTTATACTTACATTTTGCTCTTGAAATTTAATTTAATTGATTATCCACTGATAACTTGTCCAATTGTGAATAATATGCTTGCTAAAACAGAACTTTTAAAACACGAAAATATCAAGTTAAACATTCAATGGCGTTCCTGTCGATGTATTTGTTATTTTCCGATTGTATATATCGATGCCTGCTGTAAAACCGACGCACAGTCGCATTTTATAGACATTCTATTCACTCGATATATATTACGTGCAACATTGGTAAAGTAATCGTTAATATAGACAGTGTGACCGGTTTAGAAGAGTAAAAAAAACATACATTCATACATCTACAGCTCTTTTGTCAGGTCGAGAGTCGCGCAGAGGTAAACTCCCATAAAAAAATTCAGATACATTTAATATAAAGTGCAATTTGTTATTTAAAGTATCATATTTGTTAAGCTTTTGTCTAATACAAATTGTGCTTTTCAACGTTTACGCATATACGTAGTGAAATTATATAAAACGCAATTGTTTAATGCCAGTTTTTATTTGTATGGTGACGAAGTGATTGTCATTGTGGATTCATATATATATATAAATGTGCGTATGTATGTGTGTTTTAAATGAATGTGTACACACACACACTCTTACTGGCACACACATTCAGTAGAAAATATGTGAACTTGTGTTGATTTTAAGTGAGCTACGACCAAAGGGGAGCGGTTCGAAGTCACTGTAGGGCACAGAGTTTCGATTTTTTACCCATATCTATGTATACTCACAACGCATTTACAATTGATACGTTTTGACTCCCCACACACAAAGCAAGAGACAGAGAGAGAAATAAGGAGAAAGAGAGGCACAGAAATGGTGAGAGTTTAAGCGAGCGAACGAACAGGGGAGCAAATAAATGGTCTGTCTGAACATTTTACCACACTACCTCTTTGTCTGTTCAAGCGAGTTCTCGTGTTGGTATTTTACTCGCTCGCGTCGATGTGTAAAATTATTTATTTTTTTCTCCTGGTTTGATTTTGCAATCGTTTGTGCCAGTGGTGGTTGTGTAGCTTTGTTCGTCTGCGCGTTATTGTGAATATTGTTAATGTACAAATATATGCAATAATATTATGGAACGCAAATATCTGTATGTGCAGTTAACAAAAGTCAGGCATACATTTCTATAGTATACATACATATATTCATATAATCGATGTGCGTATGCGTGTGTCGTATGTCTCAAAAAAGAGCAATCGTCGTTGAAGTTCGACTACCATGACTACGCAATAGCAACAACAAGAGACAGCGAGACTCGACTTGGTTAGGTGGGTTTTTGCTTTTCTCTTCTGCTCATTGCCGTTGTACTCTCATTCAACTGTATGCAAGTGTATGTTTGTGTGTGTGTGTATGTGTATGTGTTGTCCGTCTGTTTGGTTTTCTTTTGCTTATCTCTCTCACACTCTCAATCATAATGTTGAGAGTAAAAGGCAAGTGATGTATGGGCATAAATACATATGTACATTTTGATAAACATATATACATATATGTATATATTATTATTTTATAATTTATTGTTTTAATTTTGAGAGGGTGGCAAGTGTGTTTAACTTTCGATGGTATGAAGAGCTGACCCTCGCTAAACATACACTCACACTCACACAGTCGTACATGCGATGTAAAAATAAGGTGTTTTACATGATTGCATTAATACAAACACACAAAAATGTACATATGTATTTGCATATGTGTGCCCAAATGAAAATATTTAGCATTTTGTTGTCAAGTTTTAGGATTTCTGTAATAGTCGAAGTGCTAAATGTGTGTGTGCTTATTTGTTGCGTATAAACATACATATATACCTACGTACATAAAAACATATATACATATACCTTAACTGCCTGCTTAACTTACATAGTATTTAAATTTATATAACATGTGCATTTATTTACTATTTGGCATTAAAAACACGCTTTTTATATATATTTATATGTATATTCAAATCTACGCCCAAAAAACAAGTTTCACATATGTATTTATTACTAACATATAACAAAACAATACAACTATTTTCGGATTAACCGAAGATGGATTACCCTTGCAGTTTTATAGGATATGCTTCAAATTATCAATAATCAAAATTAATTCATAAAAAAGAATACTGTCTGATTATTTATTTATCTTAGATATGTTTTCCATTGAAAAACTCAACAGCTTTCATATCCATTTATATTTATAAAGTATCACTTGAAAGATATTCCAGATTATTTAATTAAATAGCAATGTCTCCTGCAAGGGTATTATGATAAACCTGTCCTAAAACGTAAATTAGTTTAAACAAAATATGAATGTAATTGCAAATATTTCTTTTACTTTTGTTTTTTCTTTGTTTTTAGCATACATACAAAATATTTTATTGCTGGTTTTGGTGGTAAATTTGCATTTGTTAATGGCCGTGGCCAGACGTGCCAGCTTCTTAACACACACACAAAAAATATATAATTAAAAAATAAAATAAGTAACAGAAACAAAACAATGAAATGTTTTTGATCGATAATAGACATGTATAAACAAATATCGAAACTAAAACTGAAATGTATGTTAAGTATATTTACATATAGCACATAAGACTGCCGCGCCTCTATCTGTATCTGTATCTCACTGACAACTATTGCAACAGCAACTGCAATTCGCACACACCAACCTCAACTTCAAGCTCAAGTACAAGAAAATATATATATACATATATATGTATATACATATGCATATATATATATACATATATAGTACATATAGAGCTCCATCTAATGCTCGTTCGCCTCCATAAATGCCAACTTATATATTCATATATATTTGATATATATATTAAATATATATATTTATATATTATATTACTCCTCGTACCGCCTACTACTACCAACAACAACAACCACCATCAACAACAACCAACCAACAACATTCTTCTGCAACTTGGCAACAGACTCGGCTTTAGTTAGTAAGCTTGTTTTTTTTTTTTCTTGTAAATTTGTTAAACGTATTTGTACTATTTATAATGTGTACTATTTATTGTAAGGCATGCGAAATGAAAGATTAAAAACAAATATCTAATTGACTATCTACATATTCTGAATATATATTATTAACCAGTTTCTCCTTCTCTTTCATTTCGCCTGCCTTAGATCTCATTTGTAATCTTTGTACTTGTCCTACGTTCTTTGGTTCCAATATTGCTCTAACCCCATTTATACCACTCAAACAACAACAACACATACATTGTTTATATTATGCACACACATACACACAGATACGTACATGCATATATGTATATAAATATTACAGTACAGCTTTGAAAGATTGTTACATCCGTTTACCAAATCCTATTTGTTGACGATATGGGCACTGTTATATATATATACATAAATATATTTTATTTACTTAGGTTATCAGCAAAGAAAAACAAACATTGATAGCTTATATAACGTGTCAAGTTTTGCTATTAATTGTGTACGATAATTGAAAAATTGAAATATTGATGAAACTTTAAAGGTTTATTTTTTTAAATTTAA